CCCAACATCAGGGCTCCCCAGGAGGTGGTGGGTGCAGCGGCACCCCAACATTAGGGCTCCCCAGCAGGTGGTGGGTGCAATGGCCCCCCGACACTGGGGCTCCCCAGGAGGTGGTGGGTGCGATGGCCCCCCAACATCAGGGCTCCCCAGGAGGTGGTGGCTGCAATGGCCCTCCAACACTGGGGCTCCCAGGGAGATGGTGGGTGCAGCAGCACCCCAATATCAGGGCTCCCCAGGAGGTGGTGGGTGCAATGGCCCCCCAACACTGGAGCTCCGTGGGAGATGGTGGGTGCTATATCTCCTCAACACCAGAGCTCCTCGGGAGGTGGTGGCTGCAATGTCTCCCCAACGCCAGGGCTCCCTGGCAGAGCTGCCCAGGAGGGGGTCCATGCAGTGGCCCCCATAGGCCGTGTTTCTTTAGCTGAGCTGCTGAGAAACGGCTCCCTCTTCCACCCCAGTGCAGCAACGGCCAGGGTACTGGGCTGAGCTGGCGAGGAGACGCTCGCTGCAGCCCCACCCCGTGCAGCTGGACGTGGGGATTTTCACGTCTGAGCTGGCCGGGCGTAATAATGCGTGTGTCGTGTTGTGTCGCCCTCGTCCCCCCGCCCCGTAGCTGGGATCCTCCGCCGAGCCGGCCTGGGGACGGGCGCTCCGGCTTCTTGCCCAGTGAAACGCGGCGCCTTGGCCGTGTGTGCTGTTCGTGACACTCTGGGAATGTGTCCTGGCAGTGCCAAGGCTGACGCTGGCCAGAGGGACGTGGTCCCGCCGGTGGGAGGAGGTGAGCAAAAACCTGAGGCTGACTGAGGGTCTGGACCCTGCCTGGAAGGTGCTTTTGGCAGTGCCTGCCCCAAAACCTACGGGATCATCGGAGGGGGCTTGCTGCACGCTCATTTTTTTGCTGTATGAATTTTGCTGACCCGTGCAGGGAAGCTGCAGATGGTCATAGTGACAGAGGATGCAAAGCTGAGCTGGCGTGGGGCCTCGTGCATATATACGTGCTCTATATGATTCCTTATATTCATACGATAATTACTGGTTTCAGTATGTAGATCTCTCTCCAGTTAATCCCAAGCTGGGTCCATTGTCAAAATTAGGGGTTTCTATACGTTGCACTGGAAACGTCTCATGCTGCGGTTGTGACTCTGAACACTGGGTTATCTGTTGGGTTTCTGAGCCCTGGTTTGACATTTTTGGACCGTGCCCCGTAGCTGTCATCCAGCGTTTATGAAACGGTGTCTGCAGGCTGTTTTATGGGAAAGGCAAGGAAATTCAGCGGTTTGGCTGGGGTTGTGTGGAAAGGTACGAGTGGGGCCAAGAGTAAAACTTTTTTTTTTTTCCCAGGCTTGATCTATGAGCTAATGTAGAAATTAAGGAAAAAAAAAAAAAGGCCAATCAATAAAACACCTTGAAACCTGTTAGCAGTGTCAGTAAGAGTAGTGCTTGCCTTGATGATCCTGCAGTTAATCTTTCTTGTCTCTCTTTTCTGTTCTTTAATCCATCTATTGCAGCTCGCTCGGATCAGGAAGGCTCTCCTGCCTTCAGGGCACAGAAACTTCCTCCTGGCATCCTAAAAATGCTATTGCTGGATCTTTGCAACCTATGGCTGCGTAGGGATTGCTGCTGGATTCCAGCTGGCTCGGTAGTGGATCAAAAGAAATTAATTTTCAAAGCACAGTAGCTCCACTGGAGAGTTCAGGGACAAAAGAGGGAAATGCAAAATAGGCAGAATATAGAAATAGAGCAGAAGGAAGTAATTTTGCTGGATCACGTCAAAGAAGTGCTTTCGTTGGTGTTAACCCCATTAGGGGGTTAAACTGAACCCCTGTGGTTACAGACTGCTTAATATTTGCCTCTGTGCTTGCTGGTTGAAGGAGCTGGTGGTGTTGGATTCAAATGTTAAAACAACCATGTCACGCTGGGAAGCGCAGCACTGGCCGGGGTCTGCTCCCGAGCGCGGTCCCCTACGCCGCAGCCCGGTCCCCTCCACTGCCACAGCTTTGTTTGCAACTTCCTTGGAGTGAAATCTCTTCATTTGAAGGCTGGGGAAGCATGAAGCTCTTGCTTCCTTGGTCACATCCCTGCTCCTGGGAGAGTTTCCATTTGTCCCCCAAGGACTGTTGGAAAATGGAGAACTTCTGGATGAGTGCTTGGAGCAGTGCTTCCCAGGCCAGGGTGTTGGTAGTTGAGCTAAAATGTTTGGTTCCTTCTTGGGTTTTTTTGGTTTGTTTTTTTTTTTTTTGGCCCTGTAAACTGTGTGTTTTGCTGGCCAGGGCCCTGTCCAGCCCCTTGCTCCATGATTAGCACATCTTTTTTGGAAGGTGGGAGGCTCAAAACTGCAGCTGAGCTGACATCATAGCTTCTGTCCTGGTGGTGGAGAGGAGGAGAGGGATGTTCCTGCCTTCCCCTGCTGCCAGCCCTGCGGTCCTGCCTGTCCCTGGGAGCCTTCAGGATCGATTCCTGCAGGTTCAGCTGCCTTGTGCTGGCAGAGGGTGAACGTGGTGGCAGGGAGAAAGGAGACCTCCTGCCCTGGGAAGTGGGGAGCTGCACCTAGGACAGAGCTGGAGCTTGAGCCTGGAGATGAAACCAGGCTTGCTCTTTGGAAGTGGGCACTTCCAGTTGTGTGAAGGGGAGGAGTGTCCTCTTCCCAGCACTGTCATGCGTGTTTTCTGGTGAAGACTCTGTGGCTCTTGGTTGGCCTCTGTCATCCCCATGGATCTCAGGTTGGAGCCCAGCTGGGACCATGGTGCCTAGGAACCCTGCAGAGAAATGGGCAGCTGTAGTTGTTTCATGATCTTATGTTTCAGAGAATAGTTTGGGTCAGAAGAGACCTTTAAAGGCCATCTAGCCCAACCCCCCTGCAGTGAGCAGGGACATCTTCAGCTAGATCAGGTTGCTGAGAGCCCCGTCCAGCCTGACCTGGAATGTTTCCAGGGATGGGGCGTCTACCACCTCTCTGGGCAACCTGTGCCAGTGTTTCACCACCCTCAGTGTAAAAAATTTCTTCCTTTGGTTTTCCCAAATCACCATGGAGCTAAAATCAGTATATGATGGAAGCTAGGGATGTTTGGATGCAGAAGTGGGGTTGAGTAAGTGTTTTAACTATGTGGGGCTCTGGAGTTATTGCTAGCTCTGCCCTTGGCACAGTGTCAACGTGAGAGATGCTTCTGGGATGGCATTTCGGCTTCTGCTCTGCCTGTCTTGGTTGCTGCCGGTGGATGTTGCTGCTGAAAGGGGGTAGGAGCCCTGGCCACTTGCATCATGCTGTATGGATGTTTGCAGCCCAGTTGAAATGGAAAAACTCAGTTGTGCAAAGGAGCAGGAGGGCATGAGAGAGGTGCTCGTGAGCACACAGATGTGTGGTTTGATGGAGGTATTAAATACCTTTCAATTAAGGAAAAAAAATGCCAAATTTAACAATATTGGCTCTAAGAGCCTGGCTCCTTAATCATTGCTTGCATGTTGTCATCCCAGGAGAGCAGCGCTTTCGCCTGGTAATTAGCATTTAAGCAGTCCAAGCTAGTTTCCATTTGTCAAACAGCTAATAAACACATCATCTCCTTGAAGTATGACTGTGCTCCTTTAGAGCTAGGGGATTATTCTATAGAAATCCTGGAGCTGAAACTCATATTTCTTGCCATCAGGACGTTTTTTTTTTGTTTTAATTCAGCTGCAGAAATGCGGAGCCTGGGTTGGGAAGGCAGGGGCAGTGGGACCGGGAAGCGGTCCTCCAGCAGCTTTCCTCTGGGTGCTGGGACGTGTGGGCTGGCTCCCGTGTCTTGTGCATGGAGACTTCAAAAATACAAGGCGTTTTGGCTCTATCTGCCAGTCCTGACGTTCCTGTTGTACAGTAAGGGGCCCTGTTGTTCCCCCCAAGCAGGATAAAAGTGCGCTGGGTGCAGAGAAGGGAAAGTTTTAGAAAAAGTACGTCTGCTTTTTTCCCTCCTTCCTTATTCTGCATTTGCTCTTTCCAATAAGCTGACCTCAGGCTCTGTCTTCTGGGTCCTGGCGGGCGCTGGCCTTGCTTGCAGGGTTGGGTCTTGCTTGCAGGGTTGGATCTGACAGTGCCATGCCCTGCCCAGGGAGACCTCACAGGCCAGAGACCGTGACAGAAAGCCAAAAGCCATGCTGTAGTTCTCTGCGTGAGGGGAAAAATGTGGGTTTCCTAACTCAGCTCAGGCGCGCCACGTCCCATGGGGAGTGCGTGCAGGGGCGCCTCTGTTGCTCAGGGTGGAGGTGCGAGGAGATGATGAGCGAGGTAGGTGGGAAGCACTGCTGTTGGTGCTTTCCATCCCTAACCTGCTCCTGTGACCCTGGGATTTGAGCAGCGTGTTCCTAATGCATTTGTTTTACGTTCTTGCCCTGCAGGGGACAGCCATTGTTCCCAAATGAGGACTGGGGAACCTGACACCCTGGATCTGGTTGAAGATGTCCCTGCTCGCTGCAGAGGACCTTTAAAAGTCCCTTCCAACCCCTTGATTTGATGGAAGAGGGATTGGATGGGGGCATCCCTTGATCAAAGATGGTTTCCAAACTGTGGGAGACACTGGCCTATGACAGTGAGAGCCAGGAAGGTTTTCACATCACTGCTTTCTCTTCTGCTCAGTGCCTGAAGTACCATTATCGGTTGAAACGTGAGAGCGAATTGTGCTGGAAGTGCTTTTATCTTCCAAGGGCATCAACGACCTGGCAGTGCCAGTGTGTGTCACGTTGAGCTTGAAGTGCCCCTGCCACAAGCTGTGTGGTTAATCTAAGCTGTTTGTCCTGCCTAATAGGCAATCCCAAGTGAGGGATGATCGTTTTTTCTCCCCTCCCGCAGACATGCCGTCTGTATATTCTACCTAGTTCTCCGTGCCCTGGACACTGTAGAGGATGACATGACCATCAGCTTAGATGTAAAGGTCCCGATGCTGCACGAGTTTCACTCCTATCTCTATCAACCAGAGTGGAAATACATGGAGAGCAAGGAGAAGGACCGGCAGGTGCTCGAAGACTTCCCAACGGTAAGGCATCCACCTCCTGCCTTCAGCTGCCTTGTGTCACCTTTGTGTGCACGGTTGCCTCTCCACGTTACACCCGAGCTCATCCAGTCCTTGGTGAGCCCGTAGCTCTTTGGAAGAGCTACATCACCCACACATGGGGCTGGATGCAGAGCTGGAGTGAGAAACCCAAACATTGTCAACTCTCTACGTGAGCCAGAGATAACCTGGCTGCAGAAGAGTGCCAGCTCTGAAAAGTGGCTCTTTGCCTCCCCTGTTGGAAGAGTGAGTGACTGTCACGCTGTGGAGAGCAGTTTGGATTTGTTGCCCAACACTGTGCATTGCATGGGTTGGGCCTCCTGTGACCCCTGACAGATAGGGAGAGGAGGAAAGCTTGTCTGGTGTCTGGCTTATGGGTGGACCAGTGTTTGCAGTGGTCCTGCAGGATCTGCTCTAGGAGTCTGTCTGTAGATCTTGGGCATGCATGTAAGATAAAAAGCAACCTCACTGTTAGTAGCAATATCTCCCAAAGGCTTACTGCTCTAAGCATCCTTCTAAAAGGAAGCCCCGGAGAGTCTGCATCTCCACGAGCAAGCTAAAGCAGTATTGGAGCCTGCTGTCTGCCCTGGAGGCTGATTGAGAAATTCTGGCCGTGTCCAAGCCATTAAACTCTCTCAGCATCCAGACCAGCGTGGTTGCACCCCAGACTGTCCTGGAGAAGTGATTTTTGGCCCTCGTTACTTCCCAAGCACTGCCTTGGGCATTGCATGGGGTCAGAAGCGCATCAGGGGCCATGCTGATGAGGTAGATCCATCCTCGATATTGAAAGTTAGTGGTGCAGATGTAGCTGTAGGGCCTTGACTTGCTGTAGGTGCTCAGGGTGGCAGGCAGCAGAGCTGAAACCACCATGCTCATCTAGGTTCCTGCCAGGTTTCAGCCCCAGCAGACACAAGGGGATGACAGAGCTTTGGCTGCAGCAAGATGCAGCTTCTCGCAGTGCTGTGTCACCCGCAGAGTGGAAAGGGGAACCCGTCTGGCTAGTCCTCCTAGAGGGGATCCATCAAACTTACAGCCCAAAGAGGTGCTGGGGCTGGAAGGCAAGGCTGGGCTTTGCTGAGTGGGGATACAGGCGTCTGGTTTTGGTGAGGGCGCAAGGACCAGCCCTTGGTGGGTGCTGCAGTTCTGCTGTTGCTCACGTTGCTCAAGAATAGCTGAGTTTAGTTTTTAGGGGTTTTGTAGCTCTGTTTAAGAAAAAGTACCATAGTTACAGTGAGGAGCATTTAATTTTCTGAGGAAGCTCCGTTTTATTCACCTTTCTACCATGTTACATCTATTCTACTCTTATCGGGCTTTCCCTCGCAGTGGGAATGGGCTGACCATTTGGAAAACTGAGGTCTGTTGTAAATTTTGAGGCGCAGCCATGGGACAACGGTGGCTGTGCCCTGTCTGGGAGGGGTGTGCGCTATATGGCTGTGTCAGGGGATTCGTGGTGTATAGTGATAGGGGTACGGTAGGTGTGCCCGCGGCTTGGCACTTTGGAAAAGCTTTTGAGGTGTTTGTGGCACTCTTGGGGTGTATGTGTTACTCAGTTGGGCGATCTGAATTCATGTTCAGGTGCGATTTTAATAATATTTGCTAGAGATGTACTCCCAGGTCATGCTTCTCTGTGTAGTGGGTTGAAGCCGTTGAGACAGAAGTACATTTTACAGACAGATGCAGGCACAGGGCAAGGGCATGCCAGCAGCTGTGGGTAGAGTCAGGAGGAGAGCCTGGATCTGTGGTGGTGTCTCAGCTGTGATCGTTCAGACCACTGTCCTTATGGGGGACACACCCTGGCCTGGCTGTAGTTACCCACTGATGGAGAATAAAGCTCAGCACAATAAAACGTGATGCTCCACAGTTTTGGGAAGGGGAGGATGCTCTTTTTAGTTTTCTTTCAGTGCGAGAGCGATTGAGTCACTGAATCATGTTATTGGACGTGCAGAGGAAGGATTTCACACTTTCTCCGTTGCTGGATGCCTTTCCAGTGGTGTAAAATGTGCCCTGCGGAGGCAGAGCTGGAGCGGGCTCAGAACAGAGCAGCAGAAACCTCCCTTCTTTTCCCATGGTTGTTGTGATGGAGTGCTCTCACAAATTACAAAAAAAAAAAAACAACAATTCTGTGCGCAAAGCGTAGCTAGTTTTGTCCTGCAACTCCCAGATGATACCAGTCCAAGGCCACAGAGCCTTCCCAAAGATGTTGCTGTGTCTGATCTACCGCCAGAGACCATCGTTTAGGCTGGGAACAGACTGAGCCTGTGCTTTAAGGGCCTTGAAACAACTCTGGTGGTGGGAGTTGTCCTAGATCTCCAGCCAGGGTGGGATAAGAGCCTGGTAAACAGTCTTTTTTTCTGTGATTTCTTAATAAATGTTGAGCTCTGCTATTTTTTTCCTGACACTGTATTTTTTTTAATATTTTTTTCCTCGTGTTGGTTTGTGCTGCAGATCTCCATGGAGTTCAGGAACCTGTCAAAGGTTTACCAGGACGTGATTTCAGATATTTGCCACAAGATGGGTGTCGGGATGGCAGAGTTCTTGGAGAAGAAGGTTGACTCTCAGCACGAGTGGGATAAGGTAAGTCAGCCTGGACAGAGAAATGGACTGAACATGAGTAGGGTTCACCTTGTCTCTCTGGAAAGAGGAGACAGAGCAACCCTGTGGGAAAAGGGTTCAGCTGGATGAGGGAGGTTGTGTGGGCTTGGGAAGGCTTTGAGAGACTGCTGGTCCTGGGGGCAACAGGAGGATGGCGTGGATTGTTGGTGTTGCCCACCAGCACGTGTTCTGGCTGACCCATCACATCAGATGTTCCCATGTGGGCGGTTCGTTCAGCTGCTGAAGGCAGAGTGGCACCTTGGTGGGACATCCCGGGTGAGGTGTTTGCTGGGCATGGGAAAGCTGAGATGTCCCCCGAAAGGCCGTGAGAACTTGCAGAAAATGTGCTGTCAGTTACCTCCTGAACATCACTTTTGTGAAACTTGCTGCGTAAATGGGTTTAACTGCTGTTGTAACTGCTCCTTTTGTCTTGTTGTGGTTTTTTTTCTGCCCCTTCCCCTCTCGGTGCCTTGCAGTATTGCCACTACGTTGCTGGGCTGGTGGGGATCGGCCTTTCCCGTCTCTTCTCTGCATCAGAGTTAGAAGATCCTATCGTCGGGCAGGACACAGACCTAGCCAACTCCATGGGCCTCTTCCTGCAGAAAACCAACATCATTCGTGACTATCTGGAGGACCAGCAGGAGGGAAGGGAGTTCTGGCCCAGAGAGGTGAGGGAAAACACTGTCTTGGGGTGAGCGTTTCTGCTGTGCCTCTTTGGGAAATGCACTAGGACTGAAGGTGCTGTTGTTGCTGCCCTGATACAGTGAGTTGCTTCGTCTCCTTAGAGGAGTTCCTGCTCAAGTTTCCTTTGAAACCCCCAAAGCCAGATGTTTTCCCACTGTTTGTTGGTGTCCCTTGACAGTCTTTCATACTTCTGTCCAAGACCCATAATGGAGGGAGCCGACTGTCCATGCTTCCCAGGATACCTGTCTCGGGAATGCTTTACGGGGTGCATAGCAGAAGGTGTGCAGCTAAAATTGTGTTGTCTCTCATGTCCCTTTAAATCAAAGTTAACAGGAGAGCCCTGACGATCTGCTTTGGTTTTATTAAGACCCTACAGTAAAGCTGTGCTGCATGGGATCGCTACTGTTGGTTGTAAATCTCCTTGATAACATCAATTCTTCTAGTGACAGCTGGCTGACAAGTTCCACATCTATCTACAGCTGTCTGGGTACAGATAGGGGGGTGAGGTGATGTCTCCCCACACTGACAAGAACTTGTTGGTCAGCTTTGTCCCCTTCTCTGTTACGTTGGCTCTAGGAATGAGATGTTACGTTGGCTCTGGGTGAGATCTCAAGAAGTTTCCTAGTCTGTTCCCAAAGGCAGGATGAGCTCTGCCTGTGCCTGACAGATGCTTATCTGCTCTTCTTGAGGCCCTCCAAGAATTCTTCTCTTTTTTTTTTTTTTTCCATGTGGCTCACCTGTCTCATAGAGCATTTCTCGATTTCAGCCTGATGCGTGACGCGTCTTTTCCTTGCCCCACTAGAGAAGATGTGGAGAGGAGTTGCGTCCTCCTTCTTTACAATCCCTTTGTATATACAAAGGCCACTGTCATGTCTCCACAGCCTGCCCTTCCTTCTTTTCTTTAGCCTAGTAAGCCCCAATTCTTCAAGGCTTTTGTGGTGCTCTGGTGGTTCTTGTTGCACTCCCAGACCTCAGACTGTTACTGATGTCTCTCTTACGGCATGAATGTACCCTCCAACTTGTGAGTCCTTATCTCGATGTTTAGGTTTGGAGCAGATATGCAAAGAAGCTCTCAGATCTTGCCAAACCAGAGAACATTGATATGGCTGTCCAGTGTCTGAATGAGCTCATCACCAACGCCCTCCACCACGTCCCTGATGTCCTCACATACTTATCCCGCCTGAAAAACCAAAGTGTCTTCAACTTCTGCGCTATCCCCCAGGTGAGTTAGGTTTTCAAGGGGTTCTTCAACATCTGCAGCCCAGCTGATGAGAAGGAGGTGGGAGGTGGAGGAGGTTATGTATCGTGTCAGTATCAGCCTGTTTTATTCTCCATCTCTTCTGTCCTGGTACCTACCGTTTCTGCTGTCTGTGAGATTGTGGCTTCACTCCAGAGTGTTTTGCCGTGGATTTTGGTAGGGCCAAGGCAAGCTCCTTACAATGCAGTAACACCTCCTTGGTGTTTGTCCTTAGGTGATGGCTATTGCCACGTTGGCTGCCTGCTATAACAACAAGCAGGTGTTCAGAGGTGTTGTGAAGATTCGGAAGGGACAAGCCGTCACTCTAATGATGGATGCCACCAACATACAAGCTGTCAAAGCCATCATGTACCAGTATGTGGAAGAGGTAGGTTGAGCAGTTTGCTTCGAGTAATTTCTGGCTGGTCCTGTCCTCATTCCCAGTGTGGAATTGGGAAGACAGTGAATCTGTTAATTCCTTACATGTCGTTAGTTCAGTGGTGCGAGGGCACAGTGACCCTGATGTGGTTTTGGTTTGGACCAAGCTTGATGCGTTGCCTTGAATGTACCCTTGGTCTGTGCCTGTGTTGGGATGCAGAGACTGAGGTCCTGCTGTCCTTCTGGTGGAAAACCAGAGGAGTCAGCTGTCACAGTGCAGGACTTCTCTTGGGCTGAACAGGCACAAAGGACCTTTTCCACAACATATTTCTTCTGAACAGTGTACGTCGTCTCCCCATGGTCTGCTCCAGCGAGCAGTCTTGTTTTCTCTGTGTCTGTAGCTGCAGCTGGCAGCATGATGGGGTGTTTTTTCCCATGGGGTGTTTGTTCCCTTGTGCTCCATGGCCAATAGTAAAGGAGGGCAGCTCTTTGCATGTTGTTAAAGCCGTGGGACCCCTGGCTTCAGGGTACTGTGGGGTTTAAAAGTTCATGTGGGAGAGCAACTGGTGGATGGCTTAATTGGAAAAAAAAAAAAACCCACAACAAAGAAAACCAACCTAAATACACGAACAACAAAAAAATTGAGCATGGGTTGTTCAGTAAAAAGATGTTACTTCTGCATCAGGGAGACCCCAAACCATGCGTTATTAGAGCTCCCTTTGCAGGGAGCAAACCCTATGTCCCAACCCTATGGCAAGGGGCAGCGATACCTTGGCGCAGGTGCTTGTGCACGCCTCCCTAAGACTTGTGCAGACAAGCATCTCAAAGACCATGGAGCTTGCAGGCCGTGAGAAGAAAACCCCGAAGACCGTGGAGGTATCTGATGGAGGCAGCCGTTTCCTGGCAGTCACACCAGCTGCTGGTCACACGGGGGTGTCTTCAGTGGTTTGGGGTGAGCTGCAGCACACCCGGCAGTGAGTGAGGATTGCTGGGCAAGAACTGTTGGTCCCAGCAACGCCACTGGTGGTTGGTGGATTGTGTCCGAGGCCGTGTGGTCCATCCCTGGTCATGGGGTGCCCTCAAGAGGCTGCTTGGCTTAATGCACTTCTCAAGGGAAATGGGCCCTGGCCCCATCCAGGCATCCCTTGCAGGTGGTCCTTGCTCCGTGGCAGTCCACCACCGAGGGTGATCTTGAGGAGATGGTGGCCCTTAAGGCTTTCTCTTTCATTCAGTGGGTCCATTTGTCTCCTCAACCTCCTTCCTCCCCAGATCTACCAGAAGATCCCCAGCACAGACCCATCGTCCAACAAGACGCAGCAGGTCATCGCCTCCATCCGCGCCATGAGCTTGCCCGGCAGCTCCATGGCATCACGCCACCACTACTCCCCCATCTACCTGTCGTGCGCCATGCTCCTGGCCGCCCTGAGCTGGCAGTACCTGAGCACCATCTCCAAGGCCACCGAGGAGTACGTCCAGGCGGGCGAGAACTGATGGGCAGCGGGTGGGCAGGGGGGGGGGAAGATGGTCAGTGGATGGGCCGTGGGGGTTGTCCCCTGCCGGTGGGGATGGCCAGGCACCGAGGTGCCACGGGGCCTGGGACCTGACGAGGGCAGGATGCTGGTGAGCTGCAGCCCCGGGGCGGCGGTGTGGCGTTGCCGGACTCCGCTCCTCACCGCCCTTGCCGTCTGCTTGGATGGTTACAAACGCTAATCGGAGTCTTACTGTTTGGGGTTGAGTATTGTTTGGTTTTTTTTTTTTTTTCTTCTTTCCTGATGGATGGTTTACCTGAAATTTTTGTTTAGGACGGTTTTAAATAGAAACTCCAGTTGCCTCTCTTCTTGCTTGAGATTTGAGACACCTTTCCAGCTCAGAGCTGAGCAAAACCTTCTGGGTTTTGCCTCCCTTTCTTAGGCAGCCTCTTTCCGCATCACCTCTGGTGCCTGCTTTGCACTGGAAGGGCGCTGCTTCAGCTGGGAGAGGAACATGCTTCCTTATCCAAGGAAAAAGCTCTGGCTACCTTCTGGCCCTCAGCCCAGGCTGAAGGACATCCTGGAAACAGGCAGAGGCAACCTTCATATTTCTGTTGTGCTGAAGGAGGCTGCTAGGCTTGACACAAGCCCTTTTAATGTTAAATAATGTTGGAGGCGGGATGCTCTGTCCGCTTGAATGTGCCCCTAGCTGAAAGCCATCTATTGCAGCTCCCTGCCCTCTAGCAGATGGCACCCTGCCCTTGCAAAGCTTTGTGGTTTAGCAGCTGGGGAGGTGGTTAAAATGAGAAAGGAGGTGCCTGCGTGGCCCTGAGCTCATAACCTCATGCCTGACGCCACTGCAGGGTCCTGGGCTCTACACCACTTCTTCAGCCCAAGGGGGCTGGTGGCTGTGGCAGAGCAGCACTAGCTGCAGGGCAGGGGAGTGAGGGTTTCTACCGTGCTGTCCCTTGTAGGATGCTTTTTGGGGGGGGGCCTTGGTGCATTGGCTGCCCTGAAAGGCAGCGGCGATCCCTGCCGTGGGCTGGGAAGGCTTGAGCCACCGAGGGGGTGGCCAGGGCAGGCTTCCCTGGCCCACTTGGCTCTGGCTTGGGAGGATTCTTTGGGTTAGCCCGACATGCAAGCTGGAAGAGGCTTCCACTGCTGTTTTGAAACGCATCAGGCTGGACTTCTAAGTGGGCTGTGTTCCTCCTGGGAACAGCTTGGGTGAGAAGAAGAAACAAGGCTTTAAAGGCAAGTCCTGTTTTCCAGGGGTGGATTTTTGTTTTCCCGGTTCCTATCACCCCCAAATGCTGCTTTGCCTCTGCGAAGGGGAGGACAGCATGTGCCCTGGTGCAGGACAGAGCGAAGTCTGCCACCTATGGTTTGGTGGCCTTTGCAAGGCCAAGCCCATGCAGTCAGACTGTTACTTAGAGGGAGGACCCTGACTCCACAAGCACCAATGTAGATAGTTCTAACCTGTTGTTCAAAAAAAACTTGCGGTAGCTCTCTTTGTGCAGCTTCCTGTCTTGTTGAAATTAAAGTTTTCTTTGGGAAAAAAAAAAAAAAGTAGTAATTTTTTTTTTAGCTGTCATTTCTTTTACATCACTATTTCCCCACCCTGCCACAAGTTATAAACCCTCAGCTCAGATGAAATGCAGATGCTTCCTTGCTGCCACTCATGGGCATCAAAGTAAAATCTTACGTGCCAGACTTGAAGGAATAATTTTAACCAGGGTGAGAGACAGCTAAAGGTCAGTAAATTAACTTTTAATGGACCTTGCCCTACAGCCAGCAGGAGCGGTGGCAGAGCCTGGGGCTGCAGGCATGTTCTCCAGTGCCTTGGGGCATCCCCCTCCCCCTGTCCTGGCATGCAGAGATGCTGGGGGCAGGCCTGGGTGCACTCTGGTCCATGTTGAAGCACCTTCCCCATCACTACGAGGAGAGGCAAGGCCCAGGAGCTCCTCAGGAGTCAGCACAAGTCATGTCACCAGTACGGCCAGAGGACAGGGCTGGGACTGACCGCCCTTGTATGAAGACAGAAAGGTCTCACCTGGCTTCCACGATGTGCAGAACACCAGGAGAATAGTTTCAGTGGTTTGAAGTCAAGCAGAAGCAACCGAGGACCCGGAGACAAGACACTGGAGAAATCATTTATTGGCACAGTTCTTCCAATCAATCACATACACCACAGCTCTGTCTCACTGGTGTCTGAGTAAGCAGAGTTAAGGGGCTATTTTACAGTGCAAGGGAGAGCCTGCTTCACACATTGCAGGCCTGTAGCTTCAGCTCAGCAATAAACTTTGTGCTTTAAAATTTAAAAAAAACAAACCAAAACTCCTTTGCTATATTAGTGTTGGCAAATCACATGATTCCTCCTCCACAGATATTACACCTCCCCCCAGTAACAAAAATAAGGTGGTTTTTTTTTTTTTTCTTCTTAACTCCCATGGCTTCAATTGTGTGCAAGTTCGCAAGATAACTCCAAGCATCTGCATGAGCTCCCTGCAGCAGACCTGGGGAACATCCCTCATCTCTGCTCAACATTCAGCAGCACCTGCAGTCCCAAAGCACCACGCTGGTTTTGGATGCAGCACCTTTGCCCAGGCACGACTCGCTGCACACCCCAAGCTGCCCAGCCACGGATGAAGAGTGGTTTGCTCCTAAGATGCTTGCAGGATGTTTGATCAAAGGCTCATGGAGCTCCAGCCAGGCCCTTCCCTAGGATCAATAACCCCAGACTACAGCAGAAAAAAAAGCAAAGGAGCAAATGGTTTAAAAAGCAGCCGAATGGATGAAGCAGAGCAAGTGATGCACAAAGGACTTGTCGCAGGCAGGAAGGGGCCTTAACGCAGCTCCGGCCAGAGCCAGCCCCACGTCAAGGTTGTCAGTATTTTGTCATTAATAGGTCTAAGTTTAGCCAATTCAAGGCACACGCTAACACCCTCCTTGTTTCGGGTGCTAACAGTCAGACCAACCCAGCCAGGGGTGCACAAATTACCCATGGCTTCCCAGCAGGATCCATCTCCGCTGCCCCACCAAGTCCCTAGTCCCAGCACAAAGCTACTGCTTCCTACCCTCCCAGTAACAGACTGGGCTGGAAGGGGTCCAGGCTCACCAAGTACCATGGCGCAAGAGGCCAGCAAGCCCTCCAGCAGCCCTTTGAACAGGGAATGAATGCCCCAGAGCTACGACCCACCAGGAGCAGCGGGCTTGCAGAGAGCAGTTCCACCTCCAGCTCCACCATACAGTTAAAAAAACAAACCAAAAAATAATTAAAAAAAAAAAGATAAAAAGCTTTAATAAAGTAACCTCAACTATAGTCTCTTAGAAGGGGGGGAGGCTCTGCACCCAACCCGCTATCAGTTAAAAGCATTGGGGACTCAGGATTATTTGTGGTTTGATCAAGAGGGTTACACCCTCTTCCAGTACTGCTCCGTGCTGGGAATGCCGGCCACGACCTCAGACTCGATGCCACAGTGGTCCTGTCCTCGGAGGATTTTGAAGAAGCCTGGAAACACACCAAGAGCAAAGTCAACCTCCCTGTCGTGCCAAGGAGAACGGGGAAGGGGTTCCCTCGGGCAGCATCCGGGGGCACCTCACCATTTTCCCCCCAGTCGGTGTTCCAGGAGTTAGCGGCCAGCCAGTACGGAGTGTCGTTGTTCACCCCCCAGCCCAGGATCCGGATCGCGTGGCCCCCAACCTGCTCGCCGGTGACGTGCTGGTAGATCCCTGCAAGGCAACACACCAACGCGTCAACGGGCGCCGCATCTCCTCCCACTTGGGACCGCTGCCCATTTGCGAGACTTTCGACATCAAAGCCCAGAGACCAGCTGAGAAGGGTTTTTTTTGTCGTTGTTAAATGCAAACCCGAAGCTTTGTGTAGAGTCTGGAGGAAAAGACTGATGCTAAGCATCAGCTCAACACGTAGGACACCCAGAGACACTCGGTAGGGGTCCCAAAGGTGGCACATCCCAAGCAGATCAGGACAGGGAATTGGGGTCCACACCAGGAAAGCCATCTGCCAGGATTTTACCTAAAATCCTAGCTGTTGTTCTCAGCTGCAATTCTGGGGACTCCCCATTGGGGCTTCCTCCTTGAGCCAGTCCCAAGCACCTACGCCCCTCGCTATGAAGCAATGGATACAGGAGATGGTATTTGCCCATGTTCTTGCAACTCAAATACTCAAGTGTGACCTTGAGATCTCCTTTCAGACTTGAGTAGAGGGATGAGGGCCACAAAAGACAGACTCTACAGATGAAGTAGGGAACAGGGCTCCCTTTACAGCCTCAGTGCTGATGCTCACCAGACTTGTACATCAGGAAGTCCTCATAGACAATAAAGGCTCCTTCCACCGGGCCATTCTTGTAGATCTCAGCCATGATTTCCTTCTCACTGCGAGGGACACCGTAGGATGTGATGCCTAGAGAGGAAAAAAAAAATCCCACCATTACTAAGGCATTGTCAGGCCACACCGGCCTTGGGGACAGCTGGACAGAGACTGCTCAGCGTGCCCCTGCAAGAGGCAGTCTCCAGCTAAAGCTTAAATTCAAACCCAGCTGCTCCAGAGGCACTGACACAGCCAGGCAGGAAAAGTGGGCTCCAACCATCCCTCTCCCACACGGAATGATTTAACCTGGGTGCTATTCTGTACCCGACGACCTCTTCCAGACAGCTTCAGTGGGAAGGGAAGTTTTCCCCTTGTACATCCACGTTTCCAAAACAGCCCAAATTACTCGAGGCTAAGACAAATCTCCAAGAAGCAGCCAGACTACCCTACATGTATAGGGTTGGCTACCACCAAGGAGCAAGGAGGAGGTGACTTTGACACCAGACTCCCACAGGGCTCAGCAGCATGCTCTTCAAGCCAGGCACGTGCCCCACGAGGACTCAAATCAGTTCCCCCTCTCAGCTGAGTCTCAGCAAAGACAATCTGTGCATCTGACAGGCTTTTGTTTGCCCCAGGACCACCCATCCTGAGTACACAGAAGACAGCCAACAGAAAACAGCTTAGAAAGAGGTCCAACCTTACCAAGCCACCACTAGGAGCAGCTCTGGAGCTGCTGTGCATCAAAGCAGTGTGGGAGGCC